AACCCAGTTCTCTCTCTTTTTTTTTAAATTAAATACTTTATTGCCTTAATTTGTCAATACAGAAAGTAATATCAGAAAAGCTTCAAATGGTTAAAAGTACCTCAAAACACAATATTCTAAAATTAAGTCTATGTGTTTTGTAAAGGTAAAGGTCTCCCTTGCTCGAAAGCCAGTCGAGTCCGACTCTAGGGTTACGGTGCTCATCTCCGTTTCCAAGCCGAAGAGCCAGCGCTGTCCAAAGACGTTTCCGTGGTCATGTGGCCGGCATGACTAGACGCCGAGGCGCACGGAACGCTGTTCCCTTCCCACCGAAGCAGTCCCTATTTATCTACTTGCAATGTCTTGCTTTCGAACTGCTAGGTTGGCAGGAGCTGGAACTAGAGACGGGAGCTCACTCCGTCATGCGGCACACTCGGGTCTCGAACTGCTGAACGACTGACCTTCCACAGCCTGCAGTTCAGCGTCTTAACCACTTGAGCCACCGCAGCTCCACAATGTACTTTATACAATCTTACAGAAAGACCCTCTGTTAAGCATAAAATTATTGTCCCAATGAGTTAGGAAAGTAAAAGATAAGCATCCCATCATTTTCCAACCAGAAGTGTCATTTCGGCCCCCGCCCTGCCTTTGCTCAGCTGTGGTGTTGGCTGTCCCCCCGCCCCTTGCTTTTTTGGTTTTTCTTTGCCAGGTCACCAGCTGCCGAGAGCAGCCCAGGACTCACCTCGTTGGTGATGGTCTCGTTGTCGATGAAGTCGACAAAGGCCACCAAGGGCTCCCAGGGGTCGTTCTGGTTATAGATGCAGGTGCTGGTCAGCTCCTCCTCCTTCTGCTTGGTGACCGCCACCTTGTACCTGCGGAAGATGGGTGACGAGACAAGCGGGAGAGACGCTGAAGGGAGACGGGAAGCTCAGGCCCTGTGCTCCAGACGGAGCAATGCAAAGAGGACACACTTGGCTGTTGTGGCTGATGGGAAGCACTTCTCTGAGCCATACAGCGTGGAAGGAAATCCACCAAGCTCGTGGGGGAAAAACCTGCACAGATGCAAATAGTACTACCTTCCTCTCCCTGTGCTAGCTGGCTCCTCGTAGCATTTCTCCCCTCCTCCCCACCTTTCTGTTGCCTGCAGCTCTTTGTAGAAATACTTCCTGCCGACAAAAGTCAAAGCAATGGTATTCCCAGTAGTCATGTATGGCTGCGAGAGTTGGACTATAAGGAAGGCTGAGCGCCGAAGAACAGATTCTTTTGAACTATGGTGCTGGAGAAGGCTCTTGAGAGTCCCTTGGACTGCAAGGAGATCAAATCAGCCAATCCTAAAAGAAATCAACCCTGACTGTTCCCTGGAAGGCCAGATAATGAAACTGAAGCTCAAATACTTTGGCCACCCAATGAGAAGGGAGCCCTCCCTGGAGAAGACCCTGATGCTGGGAAAGACTGAAGGTCAAAGAAGACGGGGACGGCAAAGGATGAGATTGAGATGCTTAGACAGTGTCAGAGATGCAACGAACATGAAATTGAGCCAACTTCAGAGGACAGCGGAAGACAGGAAGGCCTGGCGGGATCTGGTCCATGGGGTCGCGAAGAGTCGGACTCGACTGTGCGACTGAACAATAACAACAAATGGGGTTCTCCGTAGATGTGCAAGGCATCCATCTGGCCCCAGACAATGCGAGTGCCACTGTCAACGTGCCATCCCCCACGTCCAAACCAAAGCTTCAGGCCTTCTTGGGGCTACTGAACCCTTCATGCCTTTGACGGAAAAAAGCTCCGAATCATGCAAGCTTCTGCTGGAATAAACTAAGCCTTGAAAGTGAATTGGAGCTCACAGCAGGGCAGTCCCGCACCAGCTCCATATCCCACTCCCCAAGGGCTATTTTTGAAAAAAAAATATGCTTATTCTAATTCTGTATTCAATGCAGATAGCAACAGACCCAGCAAATATAGCTCCTAGGAGAAGAGAGGGAGAAAGGGCAAGTGAAGACAATTATGCCGTTTGCTTTCCAGCGTAACATTCCAAATGGCAGGACAGTCATTGTTTATGCTGCAGCAACTGCCTTTCCCGGGGTTCTTGGCACTGAATGGAAGATGAAGAGCCGTGGAATGTGAGGTGGCAAGAGATAGGAATGGATTCCAAGCAAGGAAGGAAGCATTTGTGCTGCTACTGAAATAAATTTTAAGAAGAGTGTGTGTATCATTCATGTGTGGAAGCATGAGCCTACGTAGTGCACTAGAATTGCCATCCAGGAAGTTTGATTTGAGTTTTAAAAAAATATTATTATTTCAAAAACAACAAAGATAAAACACAGTGTCAAATCACATCCCCCCCCCCCTTTTGAAACAAGTTGCCTTTAACCTTTTGGTCTGGGTTGGACTTGACTGAATGAGGAGTTCAAATGCAGTCGGAGAATTTGGATTCGCTGTAACTTCATCCTTGGCTTGATAAAGTGTTGAATTTGGAATCAGTTTAATATTTTGCAGTTTACTGTATGTATCATCCTGCTTCTATTGCATTGTCTTCTGCCCTTATCATTCCACATTTTGCATTGTTTGTATTATACCTGAGGGCCTGAGGAAGCCTGTTATTCTGGTTCTGTAATCCCTGTCCTGTTCTGTGGCTCCCGGACTATATTTTGCTATCCAGCTGCGTTAGTTTATATTCTGTAATATAAAAGCGGGCCGTGTGGGGTTGCGAGTCGACTCAGGTGCCCTCAGCGATATTATCAACAAGTCCTTCGCTGAGGGATGGTTCCCGAGGGCACTCAAGGAGGCGATGGTCCGCCCTCTCTTGAAAAAACCATCACTGGACCCGGCCGAATTGGCTAATTATCGGCTGGTCTCCAATTTGCCCTATTTGGCCAATTTGCCCTTTTTGGGCAAATTACTTGAGAGACCGGCGGCGGTTCAGTTGCAGAGCTTTATGGATGACACTTCCATGCTAGACCCGTTCCATTCCGGCTTCCGGCCAGGCCATGGGACGGCGATGGCTCTGGTTGCCCTCACAGATGACCTCTGGAGGCATCTGGATCAAGGCGGTTCGGCAGTACTCTTGTTGTTGGACCTGTCGGCAGCGTTCAACACGGTCGACCATCAGTTACTGATCCCCCGCCTCGCCGACACTGGGATCCAGGGGCGTGCCTTGCAATGGCTCATCTACTTTCTCCAAGGTCGGGGACAGATGGTGGTGGTAGGGGAGCAGACATCCCAGAGGTACCCGCTGGTCTGCGGGGTCCCTCAAGGAGCGGTGTTATCCCCAATGTTTTTCAACATCTATATGCGCCCCCTCACCCAGATTGCCCGGAGGCACAAGCTAGGGTGTCACCAATATGTGAATGATACCCAGCTATATCTGTTGTTGGGCGGCCAGGCCGACTCTACCCCAGATGACCTGGAGCGGGTGCTTCAGGACGTGGCGGGCTGGCTTAGGCTGAGCCGATTGAAATTGAATCCAATGAAGACAGACGTGCTGTGCCTGAATCGGACTAGGTCGGGGGTAGGGATCACACTCTCGACCTTCGGTGGGGCACCATTGGTGCCAGCGCTGAGGGTTAGGAGTTTGGGAGTGCTCCTTCCTCAAATGAAATGATCTGGCAACAGTGATCCATGCTATAGTTACCTTGAGGTTAGACTACTGCAACACTTTCTACATGGGGCTGCCCTTGTCTCAAATTCAGAAGCTTCAGCTAGTGCAAAATGCGGTGGCCAGGCTGTTGATGGGTCTCACCACATGAGACCACATCCAGCCTGTCCTGAAGGCACTGCACAGGCTGCCAATAGCTTACCGGATTCGCTTCAAGGTGCTGGTTTTGACCTTTAAATCCCTATATGGTCAGGGGGCTGCCTATTTGAGGGGCTGCCTTTCCCCATATGTGCCCCAGAGAGCACTGAGGTCAGGAACACAGAATCACCTGACCTTTCCTGGCCAGAGAGACATCAAGTTGGCCACTACTGGAGCCAGGGCCTTCTTGGTGGCGGCTCCACGTTGGTGGAATGAGCTCCCAGATAACATCAGGGCCCTGCGAGACCTTTTACAGTTCCGCAGGGCCTGCAAAATGGAGCTATTCCGCCAGGTCTTCAATTAGGAGCTTCCACCGGTGAGGGGGCCACTGGAGACGGCACCACAGACGTCGGTGCCACCAGAACACATCTTGGACCACAAAAAAAAGCAGTTGGTTATTGCCTTTGTTTGTATAGTGTATACCGCCACCTTCATTGCCATCATTACTGGTACTATCTAGTGGTTATGTAGCCTTAATTTATTAATGTATTTTAATGTATTTATTGTTTGGGGGAGGGGAGGGACTTCAATGGGGTGCAGCCCGCCCTCCAAAGCAGCCCTTTCCTCCAGGGGGACTGATCTTGGACATCTGGAGGGAGTTCACGAGGTGCCATCTGAAGGCTGGCAACCCGATACGACTGCCACATGGTCGGTGAGGAAGATTGTGGCCTGCCTCTGATCAGCCATTCCCGGTCTTTTCCCTTTGGTTTTTGTTGAATTGTTGTAGCCAAAGTTTCGGCAGAAATGGCAAACAGAAGGTGTAGCACAGCCATCCACGATAACAAGGCGGAAGAACTTCTCGGCTACAAAAATCCCTGCAGTGGATGTTTCTGGCCAGGCGGTGGCAGTGCGGCGATTTGACATATCTACCCTGCTGTGTGTGGCACGGGCTGGCTGTTTGCTTCAGCTTTTGGCTTCCTGTTGAAAGAACATATCTGGAGGTTTGGGGGGGTGGAGCCTGAGGGGGGTGGGGTTTGGCATTTGTGGGAGGGGAGGGACTTCAATTGGGTGCAGCCCGCCCTCCAAAGCAGCCCTTTCCTCCAGGGGGACTGATCTTGGACATCTGGTTTTTGTTGAATTGTTGTAGCCAAAGTTTTGGCAGAAATGGCAAACAGAAGGTGCAGCACAGCCATCCACGACAACTTTTGTTTTGAGGTGACCTTTTAAAACTTTCCCCCCCTGCTGTTCTCCTTTTTGGGCTTTCACGAGTCTCTTCCAAGGACAGTTCTTGAGTCTGAGCAGGATGGCGCTTCCCTGCAAGGCAAAGGAAGGGGTCAGGGCAGCCACTCACCTGCCCCAGCTGATCGACTTCTCCATGGTGCTTGTCTCGGGCAGGTGCTCGCCTGCAAAGCTGACGATCTGGATGCGGTAGCTGCGCTGATGACCCCACTGGTTCTCCTGGCTCGAGGCGAAGTGCAGATACCGAGGGGCTTGGCCATTCAGCGGGAAGGCAGCTTTCTCCTCCTTGTCCAGGACTTGGCTTGTGAGCACTGGCCGCTGGATCTGGTGCTCCGGGCTCCAGGGCACCTGCACCGTCTCAAATGCCATATCAAGAGCCACCAAGGAGTTCTTGGTCCCTAAAAAGCAAAACCCCAAAAAATGTGCTTGGTTCTTACTCCCTCCCTCCCTCCCTCCCTCCCTCCGGGGACAAGCCCTCATCAGTACCAAAGGATTCATGCATTTGCCAATATGGGCCCCTGGGACAGGAAGATCTCCTTTTATCTGGGAGGTGTGGGTTCAAGCTCCATCTCTGCCATGGGTCCCCCAGCTGGCCTTCGTCAAGATGCCACCCCTCAGCCTCAGTTCCTTTTCCGACACATGGGCAGGGGTCATTTCCTGCGGGAGCCCACAGGAGCGGAGCTCCGGCAGTAAGGAGCCCAGGGGGCGGGCACATGCAACAAGCCCCGCCTCCTGCTCCCAGCAGCCCTCAGTCAGAGCAAGAAGTAGCCAGGTAAGCTGCAGAGCCCCCCCCCCC